TAACAAGATATTTCTCACAATATTCCAGGCAGTTAATTAGTAACTAAAGTTACAGGTCTTTAAGTAAATCAGCATTTGACAGATGACAGCATCAACCAAATTTGTATTTGACCATCTCATATTTTCTTAAGTCAATAAAACAGCCTTCACTTTACAGAAAAATGCATGATAAAAAATTTTGACCCTCCTAGGAATGCAGTTCTCCCTTTGGATCTTTCCCAAAAGTAAACTTTATTTTAGCAAAAGAATTCTTATTAAGATTACATGAGATGAGATCTCAAACAATTTACTTCCCCAGAATCATGTGTTTGATTTTTGTAGTTCAAGGATGCAATTAATAATTTCTACCACTGTTTCATATTTTCCCTCTTTAAAAAAGTTATAAATGTCAGACATTTGACACTTACTAGTTGTGTGACCCTGGGCAAGTCACTTAACCCTGAGTGCCTCACCAAAAAAAAAAAAAAAGATATAAAAAAGGAAAACATCATGCTTTCTCCTATCAGCTTAGGAATCAGTTTTAGCTCTACTAAAACAAAAAGGTGCAAAAGGAACCACTTCCAGAATATTAAAGTGTGAACCAGATTCTTATACTTCCTTAGTTATTAATACAGCCTACTTTATTTTGACTTAATTATAATATTGCCATGACATGAAAACTCTACATCAGCTTTAAAATTAACTAATTAAAAGTTTAAACTATCTTCTTCTGCTAGATTATGCTTTAATAAGTAACTACTACAACATATTTTCAAAATCTTGCAGTTAAAGGAACGAGGCATACATGTTTGTTGTTCTGATAGGAAAAAGGTTGCAATGAAGAGCAAGAAACTAAACGGTTAAATATTCAAACCTAACAGGATTCTACAGTAAATGGAAAACACAGAAGCAACAGCCCTAAATAATGAATTGGGCACTGTGGAGAAAAGAAAAATTATTTATTTTAGTGTTTTTTTTTTCAAAATATATTTCCGTTTTTTCCATTTTTAAGTATTCGGACAACAGGTTTCTATTATAATCTCGAGCTTTTTCTCCAAAGGCAAAATTAGAGGGAGGAGAGAACTGTTCCCAGGGGCAGATAAGCTTTAAATGTGCATAGGAATTCACTCGGTAAATGCAAATGATCTTGTGTAGAAAGAGCAAAAGGGAGGGGGGAAGGGGAGGGCGAAGAGCAGGAATGCACGGTCGACTAGCACAAAACCTATTTCTCAGTATTGTCCTCCCTAATACCTAATCCTAACAGACTATCCATTTCCGGACAGATTTCTTTAAACACAAGCTTTAAAAAAAAAAAAAAAAAGATTCCTAGTTGATTGTTCTACTCTTAAAACATGGGAATGTAAAAGCAACGTGGCCCCAGCTGGCTGAGCAAGCAGTAGCTACAGCGCCAGGAGCGGGCGAGGCTTTGACAAGCACTGAGCTAAGGCTGACATCACTGGAAGGCAGAGCCTCTCCTACAGAACCTCCACTGTTGACACTCCTGTTACTAAGTGAGCTAACAGCCAATCAGATTCCACAGCCAACACAAGACGGCCTTTGAACTCCCCACCAGCAACTTCCTGCTGTTTTTAGAGTACACAGTGCAATGCAGTATGTCTGTCAGCTATGCGGCACAAAGGAACAGCCATTTTGTGACTGAACTGGACCTGCACCAAAATGCCATGAATTTTGTATTTTAGTTGTCCTGTCACATCTAATTTCTAGTCATTTTAACATCATGGAAGTAATAAATGACTATGTTTAATTCACAGAACTAAGTATCATGCACAGTTTTACATTTAATCCTCTCCTCAAAATCCCAGGTTATAAGAAACAAGATCATAAAATGGCTGCCACAAACTGCATGTTCGGTTCCACAATATGCTGCATTATGCAACTGCTAACTACCACCACCCCCTTGCCTCTTAGAGTAACTGTTATATAGAAGCTTCTTCAGAGACTGGGGATTGAGGTCTGAAATGTAAGCATTTTAGAAGGAAACAGGCTCAAAAGCAAACTTCCCAGATTGTTATTTAGCATAAATATGAAGATAAATGCCAATTTTAAAGTGTATGTGATAAGACAACAGAAATAAAAGTGGTCAGCCCCCATACACTGTCTCCTTCCGTGCTTCCAACAGTATAAAGCTATCCTCAATTTCTAAATTACTTGCATCAACATTTATGGTCTTGGTACCTATATCTACTTAGGCCAGCAAAATCCTGCATTTTACATGTTAGAAACTAGAAATATAAAGTACTCCAATTTTCTTTTTGAAAACATGCAGAAATTACTAAAGCATATCAGTACTAATAGTGCTAAGAAATCTTAGAGGTAAGGTAGATTCAACTAGGGACTCAATTTTCAGTAATAATAAATGTTAGGGTTTGTGTTTTGTTGTTGTTTTTTTTAACATTCCACATAATAGTACTCCTGTCTTAAAAATATCAAGCTGCAGTAATGGGTGGCACATAATTATTCAGTATTACTACAAAATACTTAAATATGTACTCCTAAACATTATAAAGTGTTCCATATTTACAAAAGCATCAAAGAAAGAAGCAGTCTTCTAAACTTAGTCAAAGTCCCTCTCTCTAGAATTTCTTGCTAGCTAATTCTCAGAGGAATTTTTATTCGCTCTGTATAGTGTTTTCCTTTTCTTGAGTTATGGTCCTTAGTTACATTTTCACTAATATTACCTACAGAGCATACTTTTATTACACCACAGAAACTAAGTATCTTCATAGTTTCAACAGAAACAAGTGGTGAGAAAGGATGTTTCTTGCCCCAGGAACTGAGTTATTACGGTAAATTAGGGTACCAGTTACCTGGGCTACCTTGCTAACTTTCAACTTAGCCTTCAATCAAGGAAGTCATGTTACCCAATTACATTAACACATTACCAACATCCTTCACAGAAGGCTTCACAATTTGAAAAGGAAGTGAAGTCATGAATATACATTGTGTATATATATAGCTTTTCAAAATATCACATGAACTGAAAAGTAAACTAATTTTTATAAGATATTTCTTCATCTTTTGAAAGAAGTTTCTCAAACTAATGAATCCTTTGAACAGGATAGGCTCACAACTAATAAAACTATACCTGAAAAACTCTTTTACAAGTGCACAGTCCTCACTCAATTATAAACACAATACTAGAACTTTAAGGGGGTCAAACGAGTATTTTCGGAGGTTGAAAGCTAAAACAAAAATTCAACATCACCATGTGCTTTTTTTTATTAGAAACCACACAACTTGATCAATGATGCTTAACAGAATCTTTGTATAGAAAAGCTAAACAACACCCATGTGAAATAATGCAAATTATAAACCCAGGGGAATACTATTTTAAAGTACTGGGCCTATAATAACAAGTTTGGCAGATATACCTAGATATCAAATTTTCTCTTTTCTATTAACTCAAATGTCCCCTATTTCCCCCGATATCTACCCATCCCCCAAAAAGTCATCTTAGTATTTACTGGGCAATAGTCTTTCTTGTCCTTAAATTATTTCACTTTCATCATTAAAAGGAAAAAAAAAACTGTAATATTTCAGTTACTAAGTTAATGATCCAAACTGTGTAACAATCAAAAAGCCAAAGGCTTAAAAAAAAGATTAAAATCAGAGAAACATTTCAAAGTTAAGCAATTCATTTTTTAAAATTTAAGTATTTATTGTGTGCAAAATTTAACAGATATAAAAAATAAACCATACACAACACTTTCAAAAATACTAATCTATTTTAATATCACTGGACGTACTTTACACAGTTTTCAAAGTAGGCAAAAGCAAATTGGGAGAGGGGGAAATAAAGAGATGGGGAGATACCAGGCAATTGGTCACATTTTTTTTTTTTTTACCTATACAGAATTAAAATTTTTGAATACCCTAGTTACATATAATATCTCTTAAGTACATTAACCAATGTATTCACATATGTAAAATTATCAAACATAGGATTATACAACGGTAACATTTTGGAATCTTTATTACCTATTCGTTACAAGCTACTAAAACCTGAATGGAAAACATATCACGATTTAATTATAGCATATTTACAAACTTCATATGGTGATAAAGCATTCCACATTTCTCTAATAAAGAACAAAATAAAAAATAAAACCACAATAAATTCTGTTGGAATGCTGACTAAATATAAGCACCTATAATTAAAATGTGATGAAGTGGGAGAAAATTCCTTTCTACCAAACTGTTTTGTCTAAATCTACACTTTGAAAATGCACCTGAAAATAATCTTCCTAGTTTTTAACACTAAACAAATATGAACATAATAACCATAATAAACTAAACAAGTATTTTAAGTCAAATAAAAGCATTCCCTACTCCTGTGATCAGTTTTGATTTTAGGTACATGAACTGTAACCATCAAGTAAAAGATTTGATAAATAGTATCAAAATTCCTAAAATGTTAAGTGTATCAAAGTATTCTAAGGTCAAATAAAAATATAAACAGAGGAGCATCAGTCAAAGAGGTCTTTTTGGATTTTTATTTTAAAATGTACTTTTTTTCATTCATGTAACTTTCTCTAGTGTCTATTTACTATAATTTACTACTACAAGGCTGCTCTATGGCCCTCAGTTAAAGTTTAGATATACTAGATTCTTCAAAGAAAAATTTGCCTTGTATGTAAAATGGTGCAATGCAGCAATGGCTAAACCGACAAGGTCATTTTTCTGCAGCACAAAAACCTAAAAACTGAAAATTAATGTCCAAAAAACTGTAATTTACAGGAAAGACTTCCTTGGATAAAGGTATCATACCTTTTGACTACTATATGGGGCCTTAAGTCACAGCACAACTTTCAGAAATTGCTACCAAAAAATTAGGGTGTGGCATATTAGCAATCTCAAGGTCACTGATTAAAAAAGGGGAATCCAAATTAGTTAAACATTCAATACCAAACAGACAGCAATCCATGGCTGTCAAGGTAAACAATGTATGCTGAGGTTTCCACAAAAAAAAAAAATGGGGGGAGAAAGTTGATAGCTCATACCTCGATGCATTGCTGTGTACTGAACCGTCCTCTTCTTGGCTTTTGTCCTTATTTCTCATCATCTTTTAATTCTTAAATATTAAAAGGGGGGAGGTGAATCTGTGTTTGCTTTGAAGTCTTGTGCTCAGGTATTTACTGTCAAAAGTTGAAAGAAAGGTAAGGTCCCAGAGCTTCTATCAATGATTTTTCATTATCAGGAACAAAGTCCTGACGCTGCAATGATACTGTTATAATACAAAACCTCAATATCGAAAAGTATAAATACAATTAACCCCTTTACAATTTATTTTTTGTTTTAAACATAAGATAAACCAACCAGAGGAAAGCATCCTCCTCAATAGGGAAAGTTTCTCAAAGTAACACACTAGATACAAATAACAATCTCTTTATCTTATTGCGTCATCCGAGAACAACTCAAATTTACAAAAAATAAAACAAATTAAACTGCAGCAATCTTTACAATTATCACTAATAATCGTGAACCTACCTGATCCATGTAGCAGGTCCAAACCGAGAGTATCTAGTAGTAGAAAAACATTAGATTCCCGAATAATTAAAAAATAAACGTTAAATGTCCTCTTAAGAACAAAAAATAAATAAAAACTATCCAAAAAGGTTTACTGTTTAAAAAAAATAAGCGATAATTAATACAAAAAAGGTCCGGGGGAAAAAGCTCATTAGGAGAGCGCACAAAAATGGAGGTGCGCCATGGCTTCTAAGCTGGAAAAAACAACGACCTGGCTCTCAGTACGGGCTTCTTCTTTCCAACAAGGCACGAAAAAAGACCCCCTAAAAGCTGCTTTTCTCCGTAAAAATGGCTCGAATCTACCCCACCAGGTCACCAGGAAAAGAAGGGGGCTGCGGGGGCCCCCTGAGGCTGCCCGAAAGTTAGAGAAAGTTGCGTAAAGTGTGGAGAAGGCAGGGAGCTGAGCTGAGCGCGCTCTCTAAGGCACAGCCGCCATCTAGAGCCTCCTTCCCAGCTCTGAGAGCTCTGCCTTTGATTGACACTCTCTACATTTACCCCACAACTCAGGTGATGTACCATAGACCCACCCCTTCATTCCTACTAAAAAAAAAAAAAAAAAAAAAAAAAAAAGCAAGCCTCCATCTAAGAAGGGAGCCTAAGGACCCCACACACACACACCCATACACACCCTATGGCTTCTTCAAATCACCCCCACAGGGAGGAGGGAGGGCATCTTAACCCCCTCTGGTTCAAGCACCCTTTTCAAGCCAGACAAAAATGTAATTTGTTCCTTTTGTTTAAAGATCTGCTAAATATTTCAGTCCTTGAGCTAAAATTACTTCCTCTCTGGACAGGAAGTGGTGCTTTATCAAGCCATTTTGAAAGAGGGGCAGTTCTTAGACTGAGCCATTGATTAAATAATAGTTAATCTTGTTTAAAAAAATTAACCCCCACCCCAAGAAACATGATTTATAAATAAATGCAAAAGCTTAATCTCCTAATATCTAAGCTTTGTGTAATAATGTCAAAATTCTACAAATAAGAAAAATTTTAAATCTTTTCCCACACCACAAGTAATAAAAGGGGTAACTAACTTTTACAACTCAAGAGCGCCTCCCTAGTGTCCAGTTCCATAAGAGCAAAAAATCAAAGCCAACTGGTTTTTATTACACCAACTGACAATTTTTCTTAGTTCTATTTTCACAAAATTCTTTAACCCATTGAAGAGCTTTGTAAATGTTATAAATATGAAAGCAAAGAACCATAAAACAGAATTACTTCAAACATGAATCTTAAGGCAAATTCCAGAATCTAGTACCATGAACAGCCATGTTAACCAAACAGACCAGAAGCTTATACCCCCCAAATTTTCCCCAAATCTACACATGGAAGTATTAACAATCCATTCCCTCAAAGGAAAAGCAAAATCCAAGTAGGATCAAGTCTGGTTAATACCAGTTTCAACAAGGTACTGGTATTGGTTGGCAGTGGAGGGGGCGAAAAGTAGAAAATCTAAACCATGCCCATTACCAAGGGAAAAATAACTTCAAGTCAAATTCCAAGTATCCAAACCGCCTCTTACTTCATCATATACCTCAAGCAAGTAAAAACAAAATCAAAAACAAAGAAAAAAACAAAAAACCTCAAGTCTTTCTTACTCAGTAAGTAATCTCTCAAAATAGCGTACTACCCCTTATCACTAAAAGAATCCAATTTTAAATATCCAAGAAAAACAAGCATTAGAATTTGAATTAAACCTATGTAAAAAAAATCATAATCCAGAATCCAAATCAAGGTAACACTATTCAAGAAAGCAGCATTACTAGTTTCAAACTAAAATATAAATACATTAAATTTACCAACACCAACTACCACAATCACCAAAGAACATGCCAGTCATGTACACTATACTTGAAAACTAGTAAATCACTAAATATCACCTAATAATTATGTATAGCCAAACATGAATCATCTTTGTCGATCTAATTATAAAATGACCTCTAACTTAGCAACAGAAACCTTGAAAACTCATTCTACCTTTTAAAGGCTACCACACCTTACCACACATAAAGAACATACAAGCTACACATTATCAGCTAAAAATTGGATTTCATCCATCTCATCCATTATTTGGATATACAAAAATTTTTAATTGGACATGTATGAAATCTATTGTGAGGCAGAATAGTTTATGAAATCTCAATGATAAATTTTTAGAAAAATAGAGCTTGTAAAATTAGTAAGACAAGAATAGGTTTACAAACACTATTATATCTTTTTAAAATAACCACATATTATAAATTAGCATTATACCAACTTTTAAATAAATTTTATTCCTTAAGCAACTGCTTGCTTCCTTCAAAACTAACCTCTTCCTTTTTCCTCATTAATAAGACACAATAGGAAGGAAACCCATCAGTTTAATCACAATATTCAAGTCAACTTTCTAACCTGAAAATTATATTTTGCTTTTAATTTTGTTGATTATAGAAAATATTTTGATGCTTTGTAATCAACGCAGTTTAGAATAACTTGTTACAATTCACTCTGAATTTTTGGCCAAATTTAATAATCTAATAGGTTAGATAATATATTCAATTATGTACCAATTTATATTACATTTCATTAAGGTCAGTTATAGCTTGATTTCATGAGACAGTAGCCAAATACTAAGTAGCTATTTTAATTCAAGAACAGTGATTTACTTCAAAAAAATCAAAGATTCACTATCATTTAAAAGAACATCACTCTCAACACATTATCTTGATAGATTTGTGAGTAACCAAGTGATCAGAAAAAAAAATCAGCACACTTTCAAGTAAAATATTTAACATTATGCAACTTTTAATTTTTACCAGCTTTAATTACTACCCTGTAACCATAACTGTAGTAGTCAAGGATTTTTTGCCCCTAATTAAATGGTAATTCTTAAGTCAAAAAATGAACTAGGAAAGTGTAGAAATATTACAAATTTTATTAAAATTAAGAACACATACAACTTTATACAATCAAGTGACTTCTCAAAAATCATTTGTCTCCTCTATTTTCTGGTTATATTTTTAATAATTTTTCTTGAAAATGTCCAGAATCTATTTGGCCTTGAATGATACAAAAAGTCTGTTGAATATCAAATCCATTGTCCATTTTTCTTAGGTGATCAGAAACCTAGATCTTCACTGAATGCATGGGATCCATGTTAAAACACCCCTGTCTTGGTTGAATATATCACAGCACACTTTCATTAATCCATTTTCCTTAAATTGTCAATCCACAGTGAACTGCCATCTTGATTTTCTCAGGGTAGGCTCCATTTGAGACTCTTCAAGTTGACTGGGTGCTTTATGGGAAAAAAAATTGAAAGAAAAAATGCTGTTGGAATACCAATAATTTTGTTGCTTAAAACAGACATCCACCCACCTTGAAGACATTTTCAACATGAATTAAAACTTGTTTTTTCAATAAAGTACAAAAATATAAAGTTTCTTAACTTTATAACAAATGGATTACAATGAAGTATTTTTCTAGCTAAGATCATTAAAAATGGTTAACTTGCAAAGAAAGGTCTTGAGTAGCAATTAAAATAAAGAAATAAAGACAAGAATGTGAGAGATGAAATTGCCTTAAGAGTAAATAATGTATTGATGAAAAAATGCTTCAAAACTTCAAATAAAATTTAAACACATAAAAACTAAAAGTTTGTTAAATTGTCTAAACAGAAAAGATAAAACAAACCTCTAAACTCAAATTTTTTAATTAAATATTATTGAGAAGAATTTGCTAAAGGAAACAAAACTGGCAAATATGATAAACCTGCCTAGCAGATACATCTTTATTTATTATATTTAAAGCTATTTGATGAATCTTTTATCCAAAATAAAGGAAGCATACAAAGAACATTTAAAAGGGGGGGGTAACAATAATACAGAAGTGAATATAGTTTTCTAATTATATAATAGATGTTGATAAACTTGCTCAAAAAGACAAAAGTCCACAAGGGTACCATCTTATTCACCTACTACTGTAGAAATGCAAAAAAGTTGTAATTTTAGAGGGTGAGGGAATATGAAACATGGGAAATTGCCAATTAGTTTCAATAACTAAATTTAACTAAACTAGTTTTTATCATTAAGTAAATATCAAATATGGTGCCTTAAATCAAAAATACTCATTTTTCAAATATCAAAACATTGCCCATAGCCTATCAAATATAGGCAAGGTGAGGAGCTGGACAAATTTCCAATTAATTTAATTAACCTGGATGCTCTAGATGCAAACAATTACTTCTTTATCAACAGTATTCTATAGGCTATCAAAATAACCCAATTCTTCACTTCAGTTGTATAGACAGCCACAGCAACTAAGTTAGAAATAATCAAGTATATCAATCTATAAAAGGATTACCTTTTTATTAATTCAACAGGTGTCCAATTTTCATGTCCCTAAGACTAGAAATTAAAACATTCATTTCTACTGAAGGCATCAGATAACATAAATCACTTAATTTACTACAAGGAACTGCCAACTCATATCAACACTAACCAAAATCACTTAAGTGGCACAGAGGTACCATTACCAAAAATTAAGCATTTCTCCTAAAAGGCTTACAGTTCACAACAAACTTTAAGAACTTATAACCCATGTTCTTTCCCTACCTCATATTTCATTCTATTGGAATGGCTCAAAGTTCAATCACCAAAGACTTAATATAATTAAGCTTTTCAATTCTTCTACCCTTTGATTTATCTACAACAAACCTTTTTTTCCAGTTAACCACAGTTTATTGCTAAATTTTCTATTCAGTGCTGCTCTTAGAATAGTTGAAATAAGGAACAGCTTTCTTTTCCTAAATTCAAAATACTTTAAAATGAATTAACAGAGAAGTAACATGATCAATTTTATTATAAACATTAAGATCCCAACACTGATGGCCATTCCTTGTCATTTCATATAACTAGGTACTGGCTTAATAGACATTAATCCTTTTCAAATTTTGACTTTGAGGTCGGAAAAGTAGTATTCCTAGAACATAAAACCAGGAGTTGCCCTCTTGATTTTATTTTTTTAGTATCTTGATTACTGAACTACACTTGGTTCTCTTTGAAATTAAGCCTTCAACTTGAGTTCACGTAAAGTTTATATTTCATATCATGTAACATCACTGAATTTTTGAGATTCAAAAAAACTGGTGAAGAAAAACTACTGAAAACTGCGTATTATTTAAGAATTTGTGAATAAAATTGTGTTAGATGGCACTAATATGATGGATAATCCAGGTACTTTCCAATAATCTAAATATTTTAGAGGTAAATATTAAATGGCAGAGTAATTTTACATGAAGAAACATACTTCCCTTATGAATAAAAACCTATTATGAATCTGCAGCATCAAAAATGAACCAATTCTGTTAAAATATGCAAGAACTTATTTAAGTTGTCAAAGTAGCTAATAAAATTATGTAATAAAAAACTCACGCCATCTTCATGAGGAAGAGAACTTTGGCTGACAAATTACTGTAGAACTAGGTATAAAATCTATAGATCTGACATTACTTTGATAAACCAAATCCACAGATAAATGACTAACTTAAGTGAGCCAAATACCTGAAATCTACTAATTAATATATTCCCAAATAAGTAGTTAATTTTTGTGTTACATACATTTAAAATTTTATGAACAAACTTTTAGACTGGAAATTAAGAATAAATCTTGTATGTAAATATATTAAGGATGTTGTAACTAGTAAGTACTACTACTTTTAGTACAACTAACAATTAGTTGAAACTAATAATTACAAAACCTAGGAACTGGAAGGTACACCTTAGAATTCATCTAGCTCAACAGATTTTACACATAAAAAACTGAAGCCCACTCTCTTCTCTACAGAAAATGCCAACTAGAACACAAATTTTCTAACTGAATCCGTATGGAAACTTAAGATACTAAAGTTTGGAAATTAATATTTTCAACATTCTCATAATAATCTTACTTATAATTTATTTGCTAGAAAGAAAGCACTCTGTGCTTTATGTTAAATGATAAAGTAATACACCAATAAACCCAAGTTACCATTCTATTTTCTACAACTAAATTGAACTCCTTTCAAACAATGCTATAACATGAATACAAAGGGATCTTGTGCTGACAAATGAGTCAAATCACTAGTCAAATTAAGAGCACTTACATGTTTTGTCAGTTATTTTCAATAATTAAGTGACTTTTCCAGATATCTTATAACATGAATACAAGAAACCCCCCCTATACTAATTATCTCAATCAATAATCAGATTTTAAATCTTCAAATTTTTCTAATGAAATATGAAAAGGTTACCAGAATATTACTTTAAAAAGTTAGAATTCCTAAACTCCTCCTAGTCATTCCATTAATTATTTCATACTCAAACATATACTATTTGTTCCATGTAGTTAATTATGAGATCCATAAAACTTTCTACAGTCAAATCCAAGTATCTGTTACCTTACCCTCCAATTAGCCACATATAAAAACTACTGTAGAACAAGGTATAAAATCTAAAGATCTGACATATTTTGATTTTTGATATAAAAAGGTAAGTACCTGAAATGTACACATTTTTAAAGAGTAGACTTGTGGAGGAAAAGTAATCAATTGTAATCTCAGATTGTTCTGTTTTAAATGTTCCCTTTATTTGGTGAAAACTATTTTATATTTGTTATTTAAAATCCAAGACAAAAACCCAATTTCAAATCTGGGAAAGATTTTAATTATTTAAAATATTTACTTTTATTCATCTAAGGAAATCTAGTATAATAGTGAAGAAATTACAAACTACAGATGATAACTACAACTATGGTTCCAGTCTTAATGGGCTGTTCTAATGATAAGTATTTTTTAAATATAAAAGATGAATGGGCATCTAGGCTTGGTACTAAATCCTATCATATATAAAAGAGGCAGTTTCTAGAGACTGAGAAATATCCTGGCTAACAGAATGGACTTATGTTTGTTATCCATCGTCTATAGGATTAAGATTACTTCATAAATTATGAGTCACCTGAAGTTCTTTCTTGCATTAATTTTTTTGGATCTAACATAACCTCTGGTACATAGAGACTTTATTTAAAGGGGAAAGGTATCTCAGAATTTGCCATAGTTGAATGAAATATCAAGCTAATGCAGTAAGGGTTGGTAATCAAAAAAATCTGTTTGAAATTTCCAAATAAATGTGAAATGAGAATTCATATGCTTTTTCTTAAATTCCTACCCCTTAGAGATTATAAATTAAACAAGTAAATACCACCTTAAAATAACCTTAAAGAAGAAAGTAACTGAAAAATCAACTAAAGTACAGCAAGCTGATATTTCCAGTTATTAATGATTGGTAAAGTTAAAGAAAATCTCCTGAAACATTGACATATACATATATATATATATATATATATATATATATATACATACACACACATACACAAAAACTGGCCAAGGGAACAGTCTTAACTTAATCCAATCTTTGTTTTTTATATACATATGGCAATTTGACATAGTACTAAATGTTCAGACCGCTAAAAGAAACAAAAAAAAGTATCTCCTATTATTTTCAATAAGCATAATTTAAAGCAGAAAATATTTATTTCAGTGACCCATTTAGGTATTCTTTTTGACTCAATTCCCACAATCATGCCACAGTAGAAAACGAACCAGGGAACTCAAACCAGCCATACAAGGGATCAAAGTCCTGAGACTGTTTTAGTCTTTAAAAGATCTTAAGGCAAGACATGTTATGTCTTCAAATAAATGAAAGGTTTTCCTATGAAATGATTAACTTGTTCTGCTTAGCCCTGGAGGGCAGAAATGTAGGACAGGAAGGTAGATTTTAACTATACAGAAGGAAAATTTTCTTAAAACTTAGAACCATTCTAGAGTTGTGAACTGATCCAACTATTTTGGAGAGCAATTTGGAAATATGCCCAAAGGGCTATAAAAATGTGCACACTCTTTGATCCAGCAATACCACTTCTAGGGTTGTATCCCAAAGAGATCATAAAAAAGGGGAAAAGACCCACATGTACAAAAATATTTATAGATGCTCCTTCTGTGGAGGCAAAGAATTGGAAATTGAGGGGATGTCCATCAATTGGGGAATGGCTGAACAAGGCGTGGTATATGAACATAATGGAATACTATTGTGCTGTAAGAAATCAGGAGCAGGCAGGCTTCAAAAAAACCTAGAAGGACTTACATGAACAGATGCTGAATGAAGTGAGCAGAACCAAGAGAATACCGTACACAGTAACAGCCTCATCGAGTGATGATGTACTTTGATAGACTTGGCTCTTCTCAGCAATACAAGGATCTAAGAC